CCCCAAAACCCCAAAACCCCAAATGCAAGGTAGTCTGATTAAATTGAATCTCGTTAAAAAATTATCAAAAGCATGGAATAGATTGCGATGAAATTCTTTTTTATCAATGAGAGTGATTTGAGCTCTTACTTTTTTTCTTGTTTGCTGCGCATGAAGCGTAGAATAAGAAGGCTGCAGTGCCCATTTAAGCCAAAATCAATAGTGCAATTATGTGAAGCTTAAAGCACAAATGAGTCCTACTATCCCCTTCAACTGGCATTTCTCTTTTATTGTATTTTCTCCTTTGTCTTTTTTTATTATTTTATGTCTCATCTAATGATGGTTATTACTACTGCAAATTCTATTATGCCTATTCCTTTTATAATCTTCTTATCTCTTCCTCTCTATCAATTTATGAGAGATCATTTGAAATTTAAGCTTATTCCTCCTCAGTGAATTGCATTTGGACCCAAATTACAGCGATTTCATTTGGCTCAAGACAAATTTATGTGGATGATTCACATATGTTTTTCTTTTCAAAGTTAGGATAGATCTAATCATAAGTTTCATATCTTGGTTTGATATCCTAGAGGATTTATCTATCATCTCCAATAAATACATTCTAGAATTAGCTTATTAACGGTTTTAAATGTCCTAGCTAGCTTAGTTTAATCTTTCCATGCTCTAAAGGTTTAAAATTTTCCGATTCAATTTCTATTTGCTAAGGCAGCGTGTTTTTTATGTAAAGATAAATCTATTTCTTTTCTTCATCATAATGAACTTTCTTTAGTTAAACATCTCTATCTTCAATGATAGAATTCTTGAAGATTTGATAGTCCATATAAACTTCTTTGTTCCACTTATTATCAACTTCGTGTGTGAAGATAAGAGGCTAATCTTTGATTAATGCTTTGCCTAGGTTGTAGGTATTTATGAAATCAATTGATGTTTTATAATCATTTACTTTATCTATATTTAAGTTGATTTTAAGATCTGAAAGTGTTATATCAGTGTTCCTCAAAGATGAAATTCCTTTTATATCATTATTGCCTAAAGATCTAGTTAAAATCATTTCAAAAGTGTTGGAATCAATTAAGTGGCAGGTGACTGGATGAGAAAGGCTCATTCCAATTGATACTCCAGCGGACATGCCATTAATTACTAAACCATTATTGCATGGATATCCATTGTAACCTACAAACTCATCTTATCCTGAAGCCATGCTGATACCTATCTAAATTGCTTCTTAAAGAGTATACACTTTTCTTTTAATCTGTTTAATAGAATCATCAGTGTAAAAATCTAAGTTTACAGCTTGCTTACCATTGATTTCTATTATTTGCTATCTTAACACTAGCTCATTGTAAGTACTAGTATAAGCTCTCAGATTTTAATGAATGAGATCTTAAGAATCCCCATATTTATCAAGGCAGATATCGTTTGAGAATAAAATATCTCCTTATTTGTCTGACTGATGGAAGATCTTTAAACATTGAAAGAGAGGTCCATCATCCTTAATTACTTTAACTAATCTCAACCCTTCTATTAATTCAGCTTTAGAATATGGGTTAAAAAGATATAGGCCTGAGTTGGTATCTTTTCCATCGTATCTCATATAGTTTTAGGATACAGCAATTTCTAGTTCTCCTTAAGTTAATTTATCTATCATGCCTTGGGCATTGATGTGGATCTTATGATCTTTATTTTCAATTAATATTCCATCTTCATCGATTGAAGTTTGGTAAGATGATTCGTAGTAAGAATAGCAATATCTTTCATCTCTTTTGAATTAGCCTTCATTAGTCATAAAATCAGAGTTTAAAAATGATCTACATTCTTCAATGCTATTGAATGTCTATAGTTAGATTTTAAAAGGAAGTAAATCTTACAATCATAATGAAAGAAAGTATTGATAAAGGGTTATAATCTTTTATAAGCATTGAAACCTCTACTTATAGTTCATTTTCTCTTTGAATATCTACTTACTTAGTTTCCCAATCCTTAATAACTCTCTACTGAGCTAGCATTTCATTGAAATTGGAATCTAAAATCACCATATATTTTGACTCCTTAGCCTCAAATTTTACTATAAGATCACTCATTCCAGATAATTCTTAATTGAATACTCTTATATGTTGAAAATCTGATATTCCATGTTTCGCTTTTTCATCATAGAGGAAATTTAATAGATTGAAAAGATTGTCATGTTCTCCTTAGTATTTCTTCATTAGTATATCTAATTGTTGAAGGATATCCTAATTATTAGCTTTCAGTAAAGTTGTAGCTTAATCTATTCTCAAACTGTAGTCTTTTTTAGCATGATGAGTATGAGTACCTGTAATGGCATCATGATGCGTAAGAATGGATGTTTACTCTCGAGTCCTATTCAAAATCTAAATTATGCCCCTTTAATCCATCTCCTCGGAAGCAAGGTATTAAACAAAAAGAGAAAACATCAAAAGCTTCTCAGAATTTCTTTATAGATTTAAGAGATCTCTAATTTATTGCTTAAAGACAGGTTTAGTAGAGTAATATCCACTCCAATAGTCAAACCTAATACCAAGTGGGCATTCTTCTACTGGACAATTCATAGCCTCAATATAAGGTAAAAAGTCACCCTAATATATTGGATAAGTTGTATTGACTTTGGCGATATCCTCTAAATACTCGTCTATTGTAGAATATTTAATATCCATCTGAATGAAATATCTCTCTTTTGAGTGTTTGCTCAGTAAGTTAGCAAATTTATCAATATAATAAAAGGTTTCTTATCCTCTAGTGTAAGTAAAATCATCACCAAAAAAGGCTGGAATATGAAACACATGATCTCCCTTATCTGCATGTAAATCAGTAGTGTTCATAAAGTTATTAACTACATCCTGGACAAAATAGTCAAGGCACATTAAGTTCTCAGCAGCTATGTCCTCAAACCCACAAGACTTAGCTTTCATTTAAGGGTCGTATGGTATTTAATGAGTTACTGTGTATACCTCTCCTTAATAAACTTAAACAAACAACTCTTGATTAGGATTATGCCCTCTCCATTTAAACTGTAAATGTCCTTGCTTCTTAAGATCTTCCTTGACTTTGGTTCCAATTCTAGTGATGAATAGAGTATCAATTCCATATTCTGAGAATAAACTAGGAGTTACAGCAGAATAGCCGAACGGGTCTAATTACCAACCCACATGAGGTCTAATTCCAAAATTATCTAGGAGAAATGACCATCCCGCTTCTAGATTTTAAATATGATCTTAATATTCAACTAGTGCCTCATCACTCTAAACCCATCCGCCTCCTACAAATTGAATTTACTTCCTATCTACTAGTTTTTTGAACCTTTTTTTTGTTTATTGAGTTTATTCATTCCACCATCTTTGAAGATATCCAACTTCAGCCCAATTAAATTTATATTGAGGATTTACCTCCAAAGTAGGGATTAATGAGTCTAAAATATACTGAACGCTCTCACTATAGTAACCTTCAAAGGTTTATATCCATCCTGCATCTAAGTGAGTATGAGGAATGGCATGTATTTGAATCTTGATCTCTTATTCTTACTACCAATATAATTTAATCAAAGAAATTTACTGGTTATTTTTGTCCAAGTAAAATATCTGCAAAAACAGCAAAACTCAGCAGTAATGATAGCTAAAACTATTTCCTTGTCACCATTGATAAAATTCAATTTTTATATTATTAAAAAATCAGTATGAATGAATATATCTTGATGGGGTTTTGGGGTTTTGGGG